CACTATTTCAGAAAACCATGATCCAGCTGTTTATCAATTCCCTAAATCTGCCATGAGATTCCTGGAGTCTAAGCCTTTGCCCATGCATTTCCTCAGTCTTAAAACACCTCCCTACCTCATCCTTTGCTCTGATTGTCAAAGGGCTACTCATTCACTAAGGTTCAGCTGAAATATAATCTTTTTATGAAGCTTTGCCCCAGTATCCCCAGCTGAAGTTAATCCTTTGCATACCCATGTAGAGTGGTTTCCACTTCTTCACAGTGTTATTCCATTCTCCCATTTGTCATGCATCTTTATTTCCCATTAGAAAACAAGCTGCACAAAGGCATACATTCTGTCTTATTTATTCCTATGCCCTCAAACAACCAGCTTACAAGATCCCCTGAGCTTGCTTTCTGCCCAGGTAAGCTTAAAGAGTGGTAGATAGTAAACTTATTCTAGAAGAGTGCCCTAATGGTTAGTTACTCTTACCTTATCAATTCAATGGTAAGCCCCTTGTGGGCAAAAGATCTTGTCTATAACCGTCTTGTAGTTTTTCACAATTCTAGCACAGACTTACAGGCTCCATAAACTATTACTGACTTATCCAAGAAAATGAAAAGGGAAGTTTGGAGGCTAAAAGAGTCTATTAAGTTCAAGGAGAGGAACGGACTTCTGGAAACAAGGGTTTCACTTGGACTTTCTGCCTCTGGCCTCCTTGTATTTTAGTCATAAGTCTAACCACATTCAGGTGTTGTATTGTTAGGCACTTCCTTTTTGTAAATTATCTTACCCTTTCTCTTCAATTTTTTGAAAACCTCATCCTCATAACTTACCTTTCAGTTTGCTTTCATTTTAATTCTGAGTTTTTGGAAGAAACTGAATTAGGAAGTCTTATAGTGAACTTGTTTGAGGTCTCAAAGCAGTTGTAAATAAATAAATATTCAGAGACTCTAAAAGTTCTCTGCAGGTCCTTTGTCTCGATCTGATTCCTGGAAACTCAATCAGGTTTCAATTATTTTGAGCACGGGTTGAAGAGATGTGAGAATAAATTATAGTGAAAGGTTTATTAGGTGTTAGGAAATAGCCTAAAATGAGAATATTCAACCTGGCAAGAGCATAGAAATAAAATGAAACAATGTTCTAGGTAGATAGATATGTGAAACTCAGGGCCAAAAGTTGCCCCCTAGTTCAACATCTGATTAGCTATATGATCACAGGCAAGGCCCTTAGCTATCTTTGTCTATAAAAGAGAGTTTTGGCTATAATCTCAGGCATGCTTATGTCATTATGACCTATGAAAACTGTGACTTTATTCAGAAGAATGCTTGAAGGTGGATGAAAGAACTAATGAAGTAGATGGATGAGATACATTGCTGAGAGAAATAGTAGTTGGAAACATAGAAAGGCTAAGAAAGAACTGTAAGGATGAAGAAAAAAGAACTTAAAGAGAAATTACTCTTAAGACCATGTGTTTAGCCTTAACTTTACTGGAAAAATAAAAAACATAAATCATCACAAAGTGCCTAACTAAAGGGAATCTTTGTCTACTTTATTTTGCTCCACCAGGTCTTAAGGAGTCAAATCTATAGTAGAATATTTTGCAATTCATATACACATCATCTATACCTCAGTTATATGATATAACTGATGCAAAAAGTCTTTTAAGTGATTTTTGTAAATACATGCCATTTCTCATGCTCTTTTTATGCATGTGTCTCAAAAGAGAAAATATTAGTCCATCAATTATCAGAGAATAAATAGTTCCACATAAATATACATTCTAAGTAATCAAAGTTTGGCCCTTTCGAGGCCAAAACATTTTTGAAGTAACCATTCTGGTGAAATTCTTTGTAAAACAGACTGCACAATTCTTTGTTTCAAAAAAAAATGGATGAAATTAAACATAATTAAAAGTTTTATTGTTAATCTTATTGTTACCAAAAGTTGGCACTTGTCCATGAGGCTGAATCAGAAGAACGAGGACAAGTGTCTTTGGGGAGGAGGAAAGAGATTTATTACCTTTGCCAGCAATGGGAGAAAAAAGCAGACTATCATCTCAAAATCAAAATTTTTCCTGAACATAGGCAAAAATACAGAGTTTTTAAGGGAGTGTTCTCAGCTTCAGGCAATTATTGTGGTTAACTATTCTAATTATCCCAGCTCTGCCAAAGAGAAAGCCTGTGAATTCTGCCAGCCACCCAAGTGGGTAGCTGGTGCCACTTGGGATAAGAATAAAAGGCCTTTTTTTTTCCATTCTTGTGATACTTCACATGTACTCACCATCAAATTGGTATTAACTGATCAACACTTAAGTGCATATATAGTAATAACATTCATCGGGTGTCGGGCAGATGGGAGGGAGGAGGGGGGATGGGTAGATACACACCTAATGGGTGCAGTACACACCGTCTGGGGGATGGACAGGCTTGAAGCTCTTACTTGGGTGGGGCAAAGGCAATATATGTAACCTAACATTTGTACCCCTGTAATATGCTGAAATAAAAAATAAAAAAATAAAACAAAACAAACAAACAAGAATAAAAGGCCTTCTCCCTGCTTCTCCCTACCACTTGGCCTGAGGCAGGGATGCAGGTTTCAGTTCTCCAAAGACAGAAAATATTTTTTTTCTCAGGTCATTCCCTCTGTTACATATTCCCCACTCTCAATTTTACGCTTCTATATCTATGGGAGGAGGGGCAACTACTCTGTTACATTATTATGAACATCATAATTAGTCTGTATTATGTAATACAATTATGTCTTCTGGACTAATTAGGAATTGATAGTGAAATTGTAATAATTGTGTATAAAATGAGATAAATTTTCAATCTTGCAATATCTATTTCATCTGCCTATAGAAGATTTCTGTTTCATGTATCTCTGTTCTCAGTTATAGTACAGATGCTGAGGTTACAAGGTAAATAATGATAAGTTAACAATACATAACTTACTCAATGACATAGGAAATTTTTTAAAAGTCTTCTGTGCTACAGATTTTATATACACTTGACAATTACTAACTGGAGGTTCAAAGAAAATAACAGGAAGACCTATTTCCAAGAAAAAGCTCTTTTCCCCAAAACAAAGGGAGGCAAATTTCTAGTATGTTGGGCCAGTAGACAGAACTTCCAAAAGAAGCAGATCACTGTTCCTCCTTCCACTTGGAGAAACAAAAGATTCAGTTCATCTCAGAAAAATTGTCTCCCATGAAACTTGGGCAGGGTTGGGGGGAGTGGGGGGGTGCTCACAGCAGGTGAACAGTGAGCCAGCGAAGCCTCATCTATATTTACAGCCTCTCCCCATCACTTGCATCACTCGCTGCTTGAGCTCCGCACCCCCTCCTCCCCCACTGTCTGTAGAAATATTGTCTTCCATGAAACCGGTCCCTGGTGCCAAAAATGTTGGGGACCACTGCCCTAAAGCATTTTAAATATCTCTGAGATTGCCCCTTCCATCACAGGCTCAGAGCTCTAGGACAGCAGGATGGTTTGAGGGGAAACCGCAGTGCTCTGCATAGGCTCGCAGCCCAAAGCCACGTTCGTGCTCCCTACATTCTGTCATGGTGCTCCTTGGCCACCCCAGCCTCGGCTCTAGCAAGCCCAGGTGCAGCTTGACCCACTACTCCAGAAGGCACAAGCTGAAAGCCTTGGCAGCACCCACTTGTTAACTCTGCAGGCTTGCAGAATGCAAGAGCTGTGGGGGCATATTTATCTCCACCTAGATTTCAAAGGATGCTGCTAACAGCCTGACGGCCTAGGAAGAGATTTGTTGCAGGGGCAGAGCCACCGCAAAGAGCTCCTAGTAAGGCAATGCTGAGCAAAAATGTGGTATCAGAGCTACCACAGAGAGTCCCTACTAGGGCAATGCCTAGTGGAGCCCTGGGATTGAGACTGCCATCGAGTCCCCAGAACTGTAGAGCACCCTGCAGCATTAGCCTGGGAGAGCTGCAGCTATGAGTCTCCAACTTGTGAGAGCCGAAGTGAGGACTGAGAGCAGCAAAGCTTTAAGTGCTGGACTGCCTGAGGGCTTGGGGGCCCAACCCCTACCGCAGTGTGCCCAGGATGTGGAAAATGGAGTCGAAGTAGATTATTCTCCAGCTTTAAGACCTAATGTTTTCTCTGTTGGGTTTCGGACTTACTTGGGGACTGTTACTTCTCTCTTTTTGCCTGTTTCTCCCTTTTGGAATGGGAATGTCTATCTTATGTCTGTCCCACCACTGTATTTTAGAAGTAGAAAATGTATTTTGCTTTCACAGGCTCATAGTTGTGGGGAATGTGCCTCAAGATAACTCATGCCCAGAGTCTCACCCATATCTGATTTAGATGAGATGCTGGACTTTGCACTTTTGAGTTGATGCTGGAATGAGTTAAGACTTTTGGGGCTATTGGGATGGAATGAATGTATTTTGTATGTGAAAAGGACATGAGTTTGTGGGGTTGGGGCAGTGGCAGAATGCTACATTTGAGTGTCCCTCCAAAGCTCATGTTGAAATTTAACTGCCATTGTGATTGTATTACGAGGTGGGACCGTTAGGTCATGAAAGTATTAATGCCCTTATTTTGAGAGTGGGTTAGCTATCGCAAAAGTGGGTTCCTGATAAAAGAATGAAGTTTGGTCCCCATCTTTCTCTTTGACTCATGCTCTCTCTTCCACCTTCTGCTTTCCACCATGGGATAATGCAGCACAAAAGTCTTTGCCAAATACCAGCACCAGCCTCTTGTACTTCTTAACCTCCAGAATAATAAGCCAAATAAACTTCTATCATTTATAAATTACCCAGCCTCAGGTATTCTGAGAAAATGAACTAAGACAGAGGATTAAATGTTTTATTTTATTTTTTAAGCAAATATTTGTTATGTTCCAGAAACTCTGCTAGTGAGGATTAATTACTAGAAACTGTTATCTAGGAAAATTATAGAATAATGCTTGAGAAATAGTTGGCAGAAACTGTTGAAGCCACATATATATGGTCATTCCAGAAGAACATATTTGATTTTAGTTTTGTTTCCATCTTTTAGGGGGAGAATCATGTGATGTACAACTTTACATTAAGAGACAATCTGTACACTCTGTCTCAGCGGGAGAGCCCTTTAAACTGGAATGCCCTGTGAAATACTGTGACGACAGGCCTAACGTGACTTGGTGCAAGCTCAAAGGGTCAGACTGTTTAGGTCTTCGAGATAGATTTCAACCACACACAAGTTGGAAGGAAGACAAGAATATTTCAGTTTTTATTCTACATTTCGAACCAGTGTCTCCTAGTGACAATGGGTCATACCGCTGTTTTGTGAATCTTTCGTCTAAACTCATTACAAGCCACTCAACAACCATTTATGTGACAGGTGAGTTCTCAACACCTAGACTGTCTAATGTGTTTCTCATCATGCTTCCAGGAAGAGGAGGATCCAGACTCAAGTGATTGTGTTAGAGGCTGAACTGTGGCACACCAGAAGTCTGCCGTACCTCACGGATTATTATGTGCATGTGTGTACACATGTGTATACATGTGTGTGTGTTTTAGGGGTTGAATGAGGCAGAGAAGAATAGAGAAAAATATAATAAATTGTATTGCTCTTGCCTTTAGGGGTTATAAAATTTATTTGCTAAATCCAAAAGTAGATCATTAAAATATTGAAAAAACTATAACAAAGTGAATACTTCTAGGTGTAGATAGTTCTGTATTTTTTGTCCTGTTTTTCTTTTCTTTTTTCTTTTACTTATTTGTCCTTGACTTTTGTTACTTATAATTCCTTGAGGTTATGTTTGTGGTGCTTGGACAATTATACACTTGTTAATAGATTACAATTTTCTTAGAGGACAAATAGCACACAAATAACCTCACCCTCTAATGAGTTTCTAGGAATATTCATAGCTTCAGCTATCTCCCCACCCCTGCCCAGAGGCCTTTAATAGGCTCCAACGGCTGAAGAAAGACAGGTAGAGGTTAAGCCAGGAGGAACCAAATTGAACAAACTTGAAACAATACAAAGAGAGAGAGGAGTAAGGGAGAGTAAACAATATTTGATTTATGAAAATTCCACAGCCAATATCATATTCCGTGGTGAGAGACTGAAAGCTTTCCCACATGAACAGGAAGAAGACAAAGATGCCTACTTTTGACACTTCCATTTGACATTAAACTGGAAGTTCTAGCCAGGGCAATTAAGCAAGAACAAGAAATAAAAGGCACCAAAATTGAAAAGGAAGAAGTAAAACTATCTTCATTCACAAATGGCATGACCTTATATATTGAAAAATTCTTAAAAATTCATTAAAAACTACTAGCGCAGATATTTGAATTCAGTAAAGTTGCAGGATACAGGATCAACATACAAAAACCAGTGATATTTCTATACACTAGCAATGAACAACCCAAAAAGAAAATTAAGAAAACAATTCCATTTATAATAGTATTAAAAAGAATGAAATATTTAGAAATAAATTTAACCAAGAAGGTGAAAGAAAGTATGGCTGAAAGAAATTCAAGAAGATATAAATAAATGGAAAGACATGTCATGTTCATGGATTGGAAGAAATAATATTGTAAAGATGGCAATATTCTCCAAGGTGATCTACAAATTCAATGTAATTTCCATCAAAATCCCAACAGCTTTTTGTTGTTGTAGTTGCAGAAATGGAAAAGTTGATCCTAAAATTCACATGGAATTACAATAGATTCAGAATTGGCAAAACAATCTTGAAAAAGAAGATCAAATTTGAAGGACTAACACTTCCCTATTTCAAAACTAACTAAAAAATGGCAGTGATCAAAATAGAATGATACTGGCATATGGATACAGATAGAGATCAATGCAATAGAATTAAGAGCCCAGAATAAACCCATACATCTATAGGCAATTGATTTTTGACAAGGGTGTGAAGACCATTCAATGGGAAAAGAATAATTTCTTCAACAAATAGTGCTGGGACAATTGGATATCTACATGGATCAGAGATTTAAGTATAAGAGCTAAAACTATAAAAACTACATTTATATAAAGCTATATTTTCTTAGAAGAAAACATAAAGGTAAAGCTTTCTGACCTTGGATTTGGCAATGGTTTCTTTGATATGATTACAAAAGCATAAGTAACAACACCAAAAATAGATAATTAGACTTCATAAAAATTAAACACTTTTGTGTATCAAAAGGCACTATCAAGAGAGTGAAAAGACAACTCACAGAATGTGATAAAATATTTATAAATCATGTATCTTATAAGGGATTATTACCCAGAATATAAAAGAACAACTACAGTTCAATGACAAATAGACTGGCAACCTAATTTAAAAATGAGCAAAAATAACTTGAATAAACATTTCATCAAAGAAGATATACAAATGGCCAATAAACACACAAAAATGCTCAATGCTATAAGTTATTACAGAAATGCAAATCAAAACCACAACAAGATTCCATTTCACATCCACTAGGATGACTAGAATTAAAAAAACAAAAACAAAATCCAGAAAATAACAAATATTAGAAAGGATGTTGAGAAAATTGAAACTATCCATTGCTGGTGAGAATGTAAAGCAGTGTAGCTGCTTTGGAAAACAGTCTGGCAGTTCCTCAAAAGGTTAAACCTAGTTGCCACAGAACCCAACAATTCCATTCCTAGGTAAATACTCAAGTGAAATTTAAAACTTGCACATGAATGCTTATACCAGCATTATGCACAGTAGCCAAAAGGTAGAAACAACCTAAATGTTCATCAACTGATGACTGAATAAAGGAAATGTAGTATATTCATACAATGGGAAATTATGCTGTCATAAAAAGGAATGAAGTACTAATGTATGCTACAACATGGATGAACCTCAAAAACATTATACTAAGTAAAAGAAGCAAGACACAAAGGTCACATATTGTATGATTCCATGCATATAAAATATTAAGAAAAGCCAAATCCATAGCGACAGAAAGTAGACTGGTGGTTGCCAAGGCCTAGGGAAATAAGGAATGTGGAATGACTACTTAATGGATACAGAGTTCTCTTTTTGGGGGATGAAAATGTTTTGAATCTAGATGGTGGTGATGTTTGTACAACATTGTGACTGTCTTAAACGCTATTAAATTGTACACTTTAAGTGGTTAAAATGGTAATTTTCATGTTATATGTGTTTTACCACAATAAAAAGTATATTTGTATCAAAGAAAAGCACCCTTTAATTATAAAAAATAGGATGAAGTTCCTTTTGTTGCCCATAAACTAACCCTGAAGCTTATTGTGAAGGAGAAATTTCAGAGAGGTTTGGTGTAGTAGTAGCATGACTAAACTCTCGATGCAGCCACGTAAGGTTACTACTTTTATGGATACCATTCACTTGAATGCACACGTTTTGTGTCTGTTCTTTTAAAAATTAATTTATTACCTTATATGCTTACTTGGGAGTCAGTATTTAAACTTCCTTAAAGTACTCCAGTGAAGGAATCCATTGAAATTCCTTTAAAATGCTTTAAATCATTTTAAAATCCCTTACAGCAGCCCAGTGAAAGAATGCGTAGCACTTTAATGCTAGCTACAACCCTCAGCTATGAAGCACAGAAACGTGGAAGAAATTTACAGCCGAATTAGAGACTCTTTCTGTGCAATCTGGGGTCAAGCTCAGTGCTAATTGCCAGTGACTATTCGTGCACTGACTAATATACCTCTTCAGTATGGAGGCTGTGTCTTAAACATGTTGCTTCTCTACAATAAATGATAGGGGGATCAATAAATATTTCTTTGTAAATGAATTAAAGAATATAATCTATGCAAAGTACAGAAATTGCCTTTACCAACCTGGAGAAGCCTTTGTTGAGGATGTATGCAATGGATGCCTTCTGGAAAGAATTGCACTATTAATTCACATTAATGATATAAAAATATTGAATTTTTAAAAAGTGTTACTTTTTAAACTGGCAAAATAAATTATAAAAATAAGGAAAATTTATAAAACAGTAGTTCTGGGATGATATTAATTATACTATTGAACAAATAAGTGCTATTGAATAATTTATATAATAAATATAATAAATTAAATTTCAAAGCATTGAGTCCACCTCCCTTGGAAGAGAAGCCCTCTTGTGGAATTCAGTCTTTCTTTGTGGGCACTGGTCTACTTCCATACAAGAGGGAGAAATTAGGCAGGGTCAGAGGCAAGCTAATAATTACATGAAGGTCTTGTGTCTTTTTGAAGATTTCTATGCTCCCAGTTTCCTGCTCACCTACCATTCTTATCACTTTGTTAATTAATGCTCTTGATCCAGATTGAAAAATCCCAGAACCTTTGCTTTGGCTTTCTACTTTTGTCTGTCAACAACCTTTCACTTTATTATGTGTTCCCTTCAATAGCTTCTATGAACATCTCAGACCTTCATTATCTTCCTTCTAAATGATTCCGATTAATTAATTCTATGATTGAACTCTTTGTCTTTAGGGTTTCCTCATTTTGGTCCTTTTCAGCCAAATAGCTTACTAATGTGCTTAATTTGCCTAATACACTTCTTTCATAAGGCCACTCGCCTGCAAAGCATCCCTGGTGCTCACAATGTCAGGGCATTCAAGATCATGTTTATTAACCGGCATTCACGATCTTCCACAGTTCCTTCACACCTGCCTTTCTGGATTCTATACTGAGCCTCTCAACTCCAGCCTAACAGCGCTACTTGCCATTGCCGTGTCTTCACGATGGCCCTTCTGTGCCACTCTTGCCACTTGTAGGGCGTCCCTTCATCTGTCTCCACTTATCGACATTCTAACCCTCCTTTCAACCCCAGCTCATTTCCCAAGTTCTCCAGGAAGCCTTCCAGATCACCTTAGCGGAAGTGATCGCTCTTTTCTATCAATTTTTATGCCATTTGAGGTCTGTGCCTCTCATTTATTACACATGTCCTTTCACTGTGGTAATGTATGGTAATGTCTTTTAAGTCCCATGAAAGATTATAATGCCTTAGAGGGGCATGAATTGTGTCATATTTCTTTGGATTGTTTCTACTTCCTTCCCAAAAGTCAAATAAATTATTTAGGAATTAGCTTTAATTTAAACTGGGTGTGTATTTTCCTTTAGTGAAATGCTAAAAACAAAAATAACAGGGAAAGGGTCAAAGAAAAATTCCTTTTACTTCTGAACCTGAAAGGGCTCAGTGATCTAAGTATAACAAGTGCTCAGTAAACTAAATATGAACTAAATACGAGGAAAATATCCTCAGAATTATGTTTAAGAATCATGTTTTTCGTAAATAAATTTTGGAAGGTATGATAAAAAATGTTTTATTTTCTTCCCTTGAAATATTTTTCTGAAGGGATATTGGGAATTTTCTCATTGTTGGATTTGACTTTCCTTTGCTGTTTACGTTCAAGTTAAGAATTGGTTCATGAAATAACAGGTCTCTGACAGAGTAGGGGCTTGCATGTTCTTGGGAAAGCAATATTCTCCCAGAATGAAGAAAAGCACTTTGCAAAATAAAGCAGAGCCCCAGGGGAAAAGTTGACAGAGCTGGGAACAGTCACTAGAAGACACATTGGCCTGAAACGCCATCCTTTCCAACTCCCCTTGGTCTGATCAGGAACTCCACAAAAGTGGGGTGCTCATTATCTGTGCAGGAAAATGGGTGTAGAGTGGGAGGGCAGGAAGTGAGAGGCATAATCTTTGTTTCGGAATGAGCACCCAGAACATCATCAAAAGCATCCTTTCCTGGAGCACCTGCTGAATGTTGCATCTTGTTATTCCAGGTGCCAGAGGTGTCACACAGGCTGTATTGTGGCCTTATACTTAAGGAATGGGGAAGAGGAGATCAAAGCAAACAGATGAAGGTTATGTGATATTTACAAAGTCTTTCTGTGATCTTCAGAATAAACCCAGGAATTTACTTTGTGTTCATGACCTCAGGGTGACGATACACAGATTATACAAACTGACCTTGAGCTAGGCTATTAGATTCTCTGTTAGTGTGCAAATGCTGGAGTCTTCTCCAAGACTAGCTCTGATTTTGGACATATCCAAGTGCACGCTCTTATTGTTTTCTCAACTAATTTCCATTCTTTATCTTGTTTCTCTATTTCAGAACAAATTCAAAATAATTCAGAACTCCCTCTAATAAGTAAGTATCAAACTAATTAAATAAAATTAAGAAAACTAGTTTGTTTTGTGCTTAGAGAAATAATAGAAGTTGGATCTTCTTAATCAAGCAGATTTGTTTGTATTAGGTTATCTGTTGTGGGAACCTTGGTCCTCATTACTATCTAACACCCTCCCCCAGACAGCTGTGCCTGTCACTCTTGGTAATGATCTAGCTGAGGGCCCAGCCTAAACAGCAGCTGCAGCATGAACAATACAATCTTTGTTACCACTCTGAATTATCAAACTGCTTTATGCCTTGCTTCCGTTGCCGCTGATCATTTTTACCCAAAACCAAGTCTCTAGGGAAACAAATCACACACTTTATAATAGAATATCTTACTTCAGTATTTTTCATACTGTGTTAATAGCAACCCAGAATAAAAAATAGATGTTATGTAATAACCCATAATACACACACATATAAAAAGAAGTTTCACAAAGCCATACTTAACTTCAAGACAGGATTTCTCCATTGACATTTTGGGGTAGACAAGTCTTTGCTTCAGCGAGAGGGGTGATATCCTGCATAATGTAGGATGTTTAGCAGAATTTCTGGCCTCTATTCACTAGATGCTATCATCCCTCCTCTCACTTTATGACAACAAAAACTGTCTTCAGACATTGCCACATGTTCCCTTGAGTACAAAGCTGTCCTGGTTGAGAACCACCGTTCTAATGTGTGTGATGCATTCTGATATTTTCTATTCTGTTCTTTTTCATTTTTCAAAAATGCTATTTGTGATCTACTGAATTGTTTTACAATATACTAATGAATTGCTACCAACTGTGGACAAACAGGGCCTTAATGCATGTTAATATTGATCAATTGTAATGAGCATTAGCTGTATGCTAGGAAGGACATATTTGGGGATACCAAAAGTATTTGGTATTTGGAGATATCAATGAGTTATGAGATAAGGAAAGATCATTGTGTTGAAGAAACTTGAATTTAGTGTCAGAAACATGTTGACTTGAGTTCCAACTGCTACTCACTAGCCATTTGAATTTGGGCAAAATTCTTGGAACAATAACATTGTTCTCAAGTTGTGAGACTGGATAAAGGCAATGGCTTCCCTCTAAGTGACGACCATGAGAGTTAAAATAGATACTGCAAATGGAACGGCTTGGTGAAGTGCTTTCTGAGAACTGTTATGGAGATTGTTCTATGGAAGATTAACCCTAGCAGAATAAAGAATTTTTCCAAAAGATAAATTATTACAGAGCCACATGTCCTCAGCAATAAAGCAAAAGGCAGCAGAGGGAACTGAGGCCTGGGATTCTTGGGAAATGCCTCTGAAGGGGAAAGAAGGCATTCGAGTTCTGACATTGCAGAGGGGTCTTGCTGATCCTAATATTCTTCAGATTTCCTAATTGTATTTAGCATTGACTAACATTCCAGATTCAACCAGTGCCTCAGGAAGACCCTCCAAGGAAGAGATGGCAAACACACCATGGCTTCTTTATAGTTTGCTTCCTTTGGGGGGATTGCTTCTACTCATTACCTGTTTCTGCCTGTTCTACTGCCTGAGAAGGCACCAAGGTGGGTTGCATTTTCCCTCTGCCCTTCTGTACCACACATTTGGGTTCTTATTCCTGGGGCTAATCAATTTTTAGTTTATTCCTGTTGTTTTCTTTCCCAATCCTGTGATAAACCATGGATAATGATTTCCTGGGGGACAACTCATACTTCCACAAAAAAGCCAAATGGGTTAATCTGGGCTCCCCCCAGTCACAGGGAGGCATGCTCACCAGGACACAGTGCTCCAGCCCAGGGCTGCGGCTAGGAGGGCACATTGCTGGGACCTTCTCATTCTATTTGCATTGGTCTTAGGTTTGTATGAGAAGGGGTTCTTCTAAACCTTAACAGGATTGAAAGGGAGATTAAAATAATCTCTTGGATTGGATCAATAAGTCTGATTTGTGTTATTTTGTGTTATCCTCTTTTTCCCAGCCACACTACATCATGCCTGACATGCACACACCTTTATCTAAATGAAGATCCAATATTCCTAGAGGGAATTCATCTGTCCCTACTTTCTGTTGTCATTACAAATGCATGCTTCAACTCAATCCTCACCCAACAATAATGCATTTGAATTATGTGGCTAGGACAAGAGAGGTGTGATATTCTGAAAACAATTCCTTTCTACTTTTGTTAAGAACTCCCTCAGTGTCATGGCCAAACATGTTTAAGTAAGAGAGGGATGTATAGGGAATTTTGATTTAGCTCTGATCTGAACCACTTCTGTTTTCTTTTCCTTTCCTCTAACCCTCTAATCCTTTTTCCCACAACACCAACCACAGTGTAGCTGCAGAAACTGAGCTAGAGAGAACAACCCTTATTTTGTCTGCACAGGACAAAGCTTTGTCTGGGCAAAAGTGCTTCCGGTATTTTGGAGTGAGCCCAGAATCTTCTCAGAATTCTGAAGAATTTCCTATAACTCAAACTCTGCGTCTGCAGCCACACAGCTCTTTCTGTGGTTCCTCTGTAGATTTCCTCATCTTTCTTGAGGCTGCTAGAAGAACTTCTCTCAGAACCTCAGAAAAAGAGTCAGGGATACATTTTTTGATTTACCACATCCAAAGTGAACTAGGCAGTAGGAAATCCTGGCGAGGTAGGTGACAGGGCAGCAGCATTTCTGGCATTGAGTATGGAATGTCCTCAGAGCCAGGACTTCCAGCCTTTCCCAAGAGATGTCCTGGGTCCTGTCTCTTCCTCTTAGCTATGCTGTAGGGCTATGTAGAGTGAAAAGTGAGGAACCAGTGAGGGAAATGGCAGCGTGAATGCTCACTAACAGGTGTGTGTGGCATGCTAGCCAAAGCAAACGGACAGTCCAAAACTAATAACACGATCACTGGTGTACAATGAGTGGGCACGGGTGGGAAGGTCGTTTACCTTTGTTTACTTTCTTTACTCCTTTTGATTCCTATTGTTCTTTTGGTCTTCCAGGGAAACAAAAGAAGCTCTCTGATACAGCGAGAAGGGACATTAACATGGTATATTTGATGTATTTGTTGGAACAAATGCAATTTGTCTTATACTATGTGTATTTATTTAGCCATTTAATTAATTAATTAATTAATTCAATGAATTTATATAATACTTACCATATGCTAGGCACTGTTCTAAATACTACATATACAGACTCATTTTTTAACCTGTCTTTATTTTACATTCACCTCTCTCCGCATCAAAGATTCTTCAGCATTAACAGTCTCATAATAAATGGTTTTTTGGAAGGGCACAGGAAGCAGTCTAGACATGAAGCAGAAAAGTCAGAGACTGAACCATATAACTTTGGCTCTGACCTTGTCTGTTATGTGGCTTCAGGATATGCATTTATTATCACAAACACAACACCTTAAAGTAATTCTGGAAGAGAGTAGGGAGTTAATGAAAGAATGAACCCATAAACAGCCTCATATAATGACAAGGTGTTTTCATAAATCACACCAAAAGATAAAGAGACATGATCTCAGGCTTAGTTACTATGCCAAAATCTCTGGTAATAGGTGTGGGCTCATTAAGGAAGAGACCATCAGATGAAGGGAATTTTGGAGGCAATTTTTCCAACAAGGTTTGGGATATAAAGTTAGGCCTTCCTTTTCCTTCTGAATCCAATGTTGTGTAGATATTGGAAATAAATAAAAATTTAAGATGGAGCTATATACAATTTGCAAAAACAATATCTGAAGCTCTTTAATTAAAAATAAATTGTCATCAATGAGATTCCACAAAAGAACTTGGCAGGGGGTGTGTGTTTATATTTCAGTAAGGAAGAGAAGTGATAAAGAGGAATTGAAAAGTGTTCTGTGACCTCAAAAATGACAAACAATAAAGTTCAAAATAACTATGTGGGGAGAACATAGTGGTTCTCAGGCCTTTCATCCTTTAATAATTGAGTCTGCTAAAAATGTAGTTGTCACCAGCATTTGTGAGGAACAACAGTAGATTGTTTCTCTCAAGGTACATGAGTCCATTTAGCTTTTCCCTCATAGTTTACTAATACACATGCACTATTATGCCTTAAGTGGCACTTAAACCCCCCCCCTTTTTTTTTCCTCTTATAGGTTGATGTTCCCCAGCCCTTTAAGAGTGAGCAAACAGAAGAGGGCACTGGACAAAATTCCCAAACACTGCCATCAGAAACTGGAATTTATGATAATGACCCTGAAACTTGGTTCAGGATGCAGGAAGGGTCTGAAGTTTATTCTCAACCACACCTGGAGGAAAACAAACACGGCATTGTTTATGCTTCCCTGAACCATTCCATCATTGGAACAAACCCAAGACAGGCAAGAAATGTGCAAGAAACACCGACAGAATATGCATCCATATGTGTGAGAAGTTAAATCTGGTCCTGACTCCAACCAGTGATAGTTCCATGATCAGCATGTCAACACCATTGTCTGGGCCCCAGAAGGATGTCAAATAATATTTGTTAACCTGACAGTTTTCACTTTAAAAAGGTTCATGTTAGTGCTTGGGCCTTACGAGTCCACAGTACAAATGATTAAAATGTCTCCTGGAAACTCCTTTGGGAGAATTTTATATTATAGTCTTTAACAACAAAAATTTCTCTGCAAAATTGATTGGTATCATGAGTAGCAGAATAGTAGATATTTAAACATAGCTGTGTTTTATTCAATATATAAACTCAATCTTTCTTTTGGAGCAATCAGAAAGACTTGCAGGAAAAAGAGGTTTGTGTTATCTGGATCAGTTCAGTACAAAAAGAAAAAAATGTCCCAATTTGACTAACCGTAAATATAGAAATGATTGTACATTTCCAGTCAATCTTCCACAATAAGAAATTTTCCTATGTCAAGCTAAGACTGGTGTTTCTTAAAGGTAAAGGAGAAATCATTTTAGACTTGATATAGAAAAGAATGGAAAGGATAAATGGTGCAATAAAGATATAGTATATATCAATCGGATATGGAGTGGATGTTTCCCATACCTGGCAAACAAATGCTTATATCTACCCTGTTAGATTGCTAAGCAAATACAGGTATTAATGGAGCAATCAATATATAGTGCATTTTTGAGCCAAATGATGACTCAGTATTTGGGTTACATAGACTAATGGATATGAATGTGACATAATGCTGCTGGAGTAATATAATTGTGGGTATCTAAATAAACAAATTAGTGAAAATATGAATTATTAGGCAAATGAAGATTAATGGCTTCAACTACTTCATGCTTGACTTAATAGCAAATTAAAAGCATAGTTAATGGAATAAAGAAAAAGCCAGAATATTTAGTAGGTTGGGAGGGGTCAACATACTTTCATTTACCACATCTGTATTGCTTTTCTTCTTACTAAGGAATAGGGGCAAATCATATGTAGTGATGTATTATAGTTCAATAATCATTCATTTTAAAAAACTGAGGTCACAGCCACTTAAGAGTATAGCAAGAGGGGGCCAGGCACGTGGTGCATGCCTGTAGCCCCAGCTACTCAGGAGGCTGAGACAAGAGGATCACTTGTGCCCAGGAGTTGAAGGTTGCAGTGAGTGATGAGGCCACCACTATACTCTAGCCTTGGTGACAGAGCGAGACTCTATCTCAAAAAAAAAAAAAAACCATATAGCAAGAGATAGTTTCAGATTTTCTAAATATCCAGAGTACTTGAGGCTAATTATTTCAGAAATAGCTTACAATTTTATTTAACAGTTTGAGGCTATTAGAATTCTCAGGTGCTGCTACTAAATAATGCAATAATCCTCATACAAAGTGAATAGTAAATGGTTCATTAAAGAAAATACTGTATTAAATTATGGGGATGGGAGTATGAGTGGAGTATACACACACAAAGATACAACTGAGGTTTTGTAGTGGAGCTTTTCTTACGTAACGCTGACGTTACATTTTAACTCCTTAGATTTGGGGCTGCAGATATTGTTTTGAGTCATATATTGTTTTGATAGCTCATTTATTTATTTTTTGATATCCATCTATCAATATAATATTATTACACCTAGAATTTTAAGCAACCAATTCTAAATAGCCTCTTTCAGCCAAACTGCATTTGTGGATGACTTATGTAAAAAGGCATATTAGAATGGCTGCTTGTGGTATTCTTAAAAATAGAAACAGGAAGGAAGGGGAGGATACATTTATCAGATGAACACACAAAGCTGAACAGTTCCTTCATAATTCTCTCCAATTCAAAAACAAAATATTTCTGTCTATTGTCATTTTAGGATATTCTTAGTATATCCTACAGTAAAGAAAATGTTACAGTGATTTCACTTCTGTAAGTGACTTTTTATTGTATGTGTATCATCCTTGCTAAAATCACAAATGATTTATGTTTTTATTCCTTCTTAATAAAAGGTGTCAAAGATATATATGTATTTCCCCAAATAAGTCTATTTCAGTATTATTTACATGGCTTATTGTATTAATTTATAGGTGGTTTGAGAAAAATTATATATGGATAATTTAATGATTTTGCATGTATTTTAAGTTTGTTGAGTGTTCTAAATAAGAAGGTAAATTTATTAAAACTTATTTAAAATCCATTTGGCATTTGCCTTTGTACCAAAAAAATATATGGACATGAATAGAAGAGTGATTCTTAAACCCCATGGTACATAAAAACAACCTGAATTAGCTTGCTAAACTGCAGATTACCGACTCCCAGCATTAAGAAATTCTTATTTGGGAGGTATGGCTCTTTAGTCTTCATGTTTAAAAGACATCCCAGATGATTTTGATGTAAGTGTCCCAGTGTTCACAATTTGAGAAATGCTGAAGTAGAAGCTAGGTTTGCTATATGTGGTTTATTTGATCAGTTTTGTGTACCAATCAAGACTATCTCTTGCTTGATCATATTTATTTTTCTGTATATAGAGACTTTTTTTCAGAACAATTTCAGGTTCAGGAAAGCTAAGTGGACACATATCCACCATTAGAGTGACTTACAGAATAGTTTCGCTGCCCTAAAATCTTTCTGTGCTGCTCTTATTCATCCTTACTTCCCTTCCAACACCTGGAAATTACTTATTGTCTCCATAGTTTTGCCTTTTCCAGAATGTCATATAGTTGGAATCATATCCCATGTGGCCTTTTCCAATTGGCTTTTTCACTTAGTAATATACATTTAAGTTTCTCCCATGTCTTTTAATGACTTGATAGCTCATTTCTTTTTAGTGATGAATGATATTTCATTGTCTGGATGTACCACAATTTATTTATCCATTCATCTACTAAAGGACATCTTGCTTGCTTCCAAGTTTGGACAATTATGAATAAAGCTGCTATAAACATCTATATGTATGTTTTTCTGTGGACATAAGTTTTCAACTCATTTGGGAAAATACCAAGGAGGATGGTTGCTGGATCATATAAGAGTATGTTTAGTTTTGTCAGAAACTGCCAAACTTTCTTCCAAAGTGACTGTACCATTCTGCGTTCTCACCAGCAATAAATGAGAGTTCCTGTTACTTCGCATTTTATCCAGCATTTGGTGATGTCAATGTTTTGGAAGTTTGCTTTTCTGATAGGTACATAGTGGTATCTCATTGTTGTTTTAATTTGCAATTCCTCAATGACGTATGGTGTTGATAATCTTTTCATACACCTATTTGCATTATTTGCATCTGTGTATCTTCTTTAGTAAGGTGTCCGTTCAGGTCTTTTGCTCATTTTTTAACTGTGTTGTTCATTGTCTTGTTGAATATTAAGGGTTCTTTGTATAGTTTGGATAACAATCCTTTATCAGATGTACCTTTTGCAAATAATTTCAGTTTATGGCTTGTCTTCTCATTCTCATTGTGATCATAGCATTTACTTATAATTATGTTTGCTGCTACATTAGACTGTGGGCTTCTTATGGGCAAGGATTATGCCACAGTCCTCTTTAGTTTCTTAGCCTAGTGTTTGGCACATATTAGAATTAAATAATGTTTAACTAATGAATGGATTGTGTTTGTGAAGTGGTCATCTATTCCCCTGCTACTCAAAGAATGGTCCTCATTCTTTGGGTAGCCATTTGTGAATATTTGATCCACTTAGCTTTTGTGTGTGGTGAGGAGCCAAGTCACATTTATAAGACAGACTAATTTATTTATTTATTTTTCTTTTTTATTTTGGCATATTATGGGGGTACAAATGTTTAGGTTACATATATTGCCATTGCCTTGCCTGAGTCTGAGCTTCAAGGGTGTCCATCCTCCAATGGTGTGCACTGCACCAATTAGGTGTGTATCTACCCATCCCCTCCTCCCCGCTCCCATATACCCGACACCCCATGAATGTTATTACCATATGTGCACTTAAGTGTTGATCAGTTAAAACCAATTTGATGGTGAGTACATGTGGTGCTTGTTTTTCCATTCTTGTGACACTTCACTTAGTAGAAGGGGCTCCAGCTCTATCCAGGATAATACAAGAGGTACAAGATCACCATTGTTTTTTGTGGCTGAGTAGAACTCCATGGTATATATATACCATATCTTATTAATCCACTCATGTATGGATGGGCACTTCGGTTGCTTCCACATCTTTGCAATTGTGAGTTGTGCTGCTATAAACATTCTAGTGCAGATGTCTTTTTTATAGACTGTCTTTTTTTCCTTTGGGTAGATGGCCAGTAATAGGATTGCTGGATCAAATGGTAGTTCTACTTGTAGATCTTTGAGGTACCTCCATATTGCTTTCCACAGAGGTTGTACTAGTTTGCAGTCCCACCAGCAGTGTATGAGTGTTCCTATCTCTCCTCATCCGTGCCAACATTTATTGTTTTGGGACTTTTTGATAAAGGCCATTCTCACTGGAGTTAAGTGATATCTCATTGTGGTTTCAATTTGCATTTCCCAAGACCGACTAATTTAGAAAGTTCTACTTAAGGGTTTTAGCACCCAACCCAGAAAGTAAAAATGGCAAATGAGAAAGAAAACATTACTATTTTATCGAACAGAGGTTTGTGCTAAACTTGAAAACATGGGAACTGAAAGTTCTGTGCTAGAAATCAATCTACAGGTTCAAAAGCAAGTTCTGGGGGTTAATCTTTAAAATCAGGCCCTATTCATAAGTTAGTGTAAACATTCCATTGCAATTGCTTTATCTGTGAACATTCCTGAGTCAGAATTGAATTTGTGAGCACTCAGCAATAACAGCCAGTGGTTCACCAAAATACCATGGTCTGAAAAGCCAATCTGCCTATATCTCAGTTACAAAACATTTCTCCTTCCACCCTCTCTCATTCTACCCTTAGTGAGAAGTGGAAAGAGGCCCTGCCGTGTTATTTTGGTTAGCTCTCCATGGGCTGTTTTCTTTTCTTATTTTGGTCAGCCCATTTCCTGGAGCTGGTCTCTGTTCCTAGTTGTTTTGGGAAATTTTT